CTGAGTGGGATTCGAACCCACGATCCCGGCTTCCGAGCGAGCGAAGACAGTGCATGCCTTAGACCGCTCGGCTACCGTGGCCGGCTTCAAAAAGTTTATCTACAAATATTCTCTGTTTATTTCTTGTCTCCCCACCCTTTCTGCATTTGTACGCAGTCGTCAACTTCTTTTAACTGCTTTAAGCAATATCAGAAGCAGAATATGAATCGCGTGTCGTCTCCACAGTTAATCTTTTGGGGAATTATCTCTCGGAAAGTAATGTATCTACTTACATCGTTAAATATGTTAGCTTCCGATCCCGCGTTGAAGAAGAGAACTGGACCCAGAAGAATAACAGATCGGAAAAGTATATTCATTATTTCCCGACCCAAAGAAAGTACCAATGCAACTTGTGACGGAATCTTGCACACTGCCGCAGTGAACTGCTGTAAGAAGTTTGTGGTCGGATAATTCGTTTCCTTCGCGTCTACTTCCAGATTTGTGACGTCACACATTAAAACACATAAAAAATATTATTTGCCTGGTCGTTCTTTCCGACCTGTTCTTCAAAGTCGAAATTTACGTAGTGCAAATAAATATAGGCCTCCATGAGTTCTACCACTCACCCAGAAGCTAAGATGAGAGTTTACTAGACATATTGGTGTTATGGAGGTACCCGCTTCAACTCTTAACTGAGGTTGTTACTACGCAATTCTCCCCGCGATTTTCTTCAGTATTTCCAGGCTATAATCCGAAAAACTACCCCCTCGTCCGTCTTTTACAGTTCACCATACGTAATTATCTTTTCTTCTCAGTCGACGCTGCTTAAACTCTGACGTTTATTCGGCACCGTATCTGAATTCACAAAAGATGCAAACAAGTTTAATTCAGTAAAATTTGTTACTTTACTTTTTTTTAATCTCGCTTAGTGGGAGGGGTTGGAGTCAAAATGGGTCCGCTCGGCACGGCGGCCACTGATTGGCCTATTGTAGCCTGCCCCGGGTGATTATGATGATAGAGAATTTGGTGGAGTGAAGATTGGCAGGGGAAACCGAAGTACTCGGAGAAAACCCGCCCCAACGCCACTTTGTCCACCACAAATCCCACTTGACCAGACCCGTGATCAAACCCGGACCACCGCGGTGGGAAGCCAGCGACTACCGCTTGAGCTATGGCGCGGCCTCTGTTATTTTGCTTACTATTTCAAGCCAGATTCGTCTTTCAGCTCTATAAAATTAAATTTTTAAAGGGATCAGGTGTCAGTACTGACATAGAGGTATATAAGATCAGATTTTAGAATAATTTCGTGCAATTTTATGTATATTTGAACATGATGGCCACATAGTGAATAGAATATGTCATAAAACTGACTATATACATAAATAAAGCTTCAGCGATGACATACAATAATTATTTATCATGTCATATATAATGGTTCCCTTGTCCTCAGGGACACAGTGATCATGTGTATGAGATCTGCACAGTGTAACAGTGGCTGACTGGGAAACTGTATCACAGACAGACCTATTTAACTACAAATAATATAATGGACAGTAAAATTTTATTTTAAAAATAGTTTTACATGAATATCCTATATATATGTATTTTATCAACTAAATATAAAAAACTTTTACAATCAGTAAATTGATTGAACATGTAATTGATAAATTTTACAAAATAAACTTAATCTGATTTTCCTTCATTCACACACTACACTTCTGTCCACAATGCAACCAGTTTGCTATCTCCATCTCTTTCTGCTACATGTTTCGGCCGTGTATGACTATCATCGGGTGTCACTATTTGCTAAAACCGTTTTACTACGTACTCGTAATATGTGCAACTTCACGTAACACATATACATGTGATATCTCACACTTAAAATAAATGTACTCTATTAAAGGTCACTAAAAGTCATTAAAAACATTTAAAATTCTGATGTTTTTGCTTGGGGCTGTCATTCTTTCTTCAATTATCATTCTTTTTGGATTCGTTTTGCAGCAGAATGAGTGTTTGTGTGTATGTAGCTTCCAATTGTGTTGGTGCGGTTATCACATATGCCCCTTTGACTCTGTTCTCCACCCTACCTGTTAGTAGCGTTGTTTGTGTTCTGTGTATATATTCTTAGGTAGCTTTTCACAGTGGTCATCTTTGCCACTGCAATAGTATAGCTTGTCAGTTCTCTGTCACATTCTTCAAACGTTCCATACTCATTGCATGTGATAGTCTCATATGTTAAAAAATTATCCCCAGAAATGGACTGATTTATTGTTAAAAAAAGAAGAAAGGCAAAGAAGTGGAAATATACTGCCACCTACAAATAAATTTCAAATGTATGTGCATGTTCTGTGATTGGAAATGTTAATGTTATTTTCACATTCTAATATAAATGATCTTAGTAGGAATATTCTTACAACAATTGAAATTTTAAATAGATGGTTTAGAGCAAATAAACTATCCCTGAATTTTAATAAGACACATTGTATTCAATTTAAAACCAAGGCAACAATATCAGATACTTTTACAATAAATTATAACAATAATTTTATCAACAATACCTTAAGTACTAAATTCTTGGGAGTCGTAGTTGATAGTGCCCTAATATGGAAGAATCACATTGAACTACTTGTAAAAAAATTAAGCAAGGCTTGTTATGTAATAAGAAATATGAAACAGTATTTGTCTATTACAGCCTTAAAGGCAATTTATTACTCTTTCTTTCACTCCTTATTGAGCTATGGTATCATCTTTTGGGGAAATTCTTCCCATAGTTCTAGTGTTTTTCTTCTCCAAAAAAAAGCCATCAGAGCGATGTTGGGATATGGTAACAGAGTTTCGTGTAGAAACATATTTAAAGAGTTAAACATTTTACCATTTGCATCGCAATACATATTTTCATTGTTAATATTTGTATTGCAGAATAAACATCTTTTTTCATCAAATATTGACTCTCATGCTATAAATACCAGACATAGACAAGATCTTTATCTACCTCAAGCTAACTTAACTAGTTTTCAAAAAGGAGTTTACTACGCGGGTATAAAAATGTTTAATAAACTGCCCATAGAGATCAAGAACTCATCTCATAATTTTAAANGAAAACCACTACTGTAAATGGTTTGAAGTCTCCAGACAATGCTTTCTTTGGCATGACAGTTTTAGCCAGAAGAATGAAGAGTGTGCTTTAGTGACCAATGCTTCTGTATGGCAGTGAAACAAGAATGCCAAGAAATGGAGACAAAAATAAATAAAAATATCATAAATGATGTTTCTGGGGCCATCGTTAGGAGTTACATTGAGGAATAAAATGAGGAGTGAGGATATTCAAGAATGCCTTGAAACAAGAAATGTGGTACAGGAAGATGTAGGAGAGGTGGTCCCTAATATTTACAATGGCAATCGTATCATTACAAGTCTATTTAAAAACGTTTACAAAGCCAACCAAGAAAGAGATGGAAGTTGTTCATGTACACCATGAACCAGGGTATGTTATACCGTGTGCGGGTAGTCCCACGTGCAGGTTTGAATTTCCCCACTCATGTATGAATAATGGATGTTTAAATTAAATCCAGTAGCTTACTAGTGGTTATGAAACCGTTAAGCCATTGTCGACAGTCTCAACATCACGTTTGAATTTCCCACCAATATATGAATAGCGGTAGTTAGCCAGTGATTGCGTTACGGTTACGTCATTGTCTATGACGCACCATCCGGTCTGTAGTAGCATTACAGAGCGTTAGAGCGCGTTAGAGCATGGAGCATTGAAGCGGTTGAATCGGCGGAATCGGGTTAGAGGGGTTAGAGGCAGGCGAGGAAAGTGTTGTCATGGTGCATGGTTCGAATGTCGGACAAGGCACCGACTAACCGGACTTTCTGTCCATGCAAATGCTAGGAAAAACCTGGATTGGACCACGACCGANTCTTTGGTGGAGTTTGTTGTAGAGCAGCGTTTGATTGTTGCAGAGTATTTAATGAAATTATAATTACAGCGTTAAATCGGTAACGATCTAGACTTATTTTCGAGAGGTGCTTGGTTCGAATATCGGACAAGGCACCGGCTAACCGGACTGAGGCTTCCAAGGCTTTCTGTCCATGCAAATGCTAGGACAAAACCTGGATTGGACCACGACCGGCTCTCTCAAAACCATTTCTAACGCAACTATCATCTGACCCTTCGGCGCTGTTATAAAGTAGATGCTGAAAGCTCCGTGAAATAACCTCTTAAATAGTATTTGTTTAGCGAAAAGTTCACCAAATAAGCATTTAGTGAAAATCATTCGATAGCAGGGATAAGTACGAAACTCTTGACAATTATCGTGGAATGTGATATGCAAATGGTCAACTGATGACAAGAAATTGTGAAGAGTGCTTTGGCGGCAGTTACAGTCATTAACTTATTGATCAAACTTTCCTCGAGTATGTTACCAAGGTTCTGCAGTAGAGTGTGGCTGAGAGTTAACTCAGTGAAAGTGGAAGCTTATGTAAAATGCAATAAAATAACCGGAGGATTTACAAATATTGCAGAGCGTAAAAGGTGCATTCANCAGGACTCGTCATATACATACATACACATCCTCCACTTTCCATAAACATCCATACAGGGAACAAACCCAGGATGTGGAATTAGTCATCAAACACATACACAAAGTCACACAAGTCACACCGCGAAGATCACCCACATTAATTATCCAGCACATACAACAATACAAGGCAAAAAGAGTAAACAAACATAAGTCACAAGTAACCACAATACAACTCCTCACATCTCCCTTACCAACTATATTAAAATGTGGCGTTAAGCAGAGGTAGTTTCTGCTGGATGGTTTATTTACTGGCACTGTTCTCAGTTCGTATATTGTGTGGTTTGGAATGAAAGGTGGTAGGATTATATGGATGGCATGAAACTGTAGTGGTCTTTACCACCGATTACCTGAAGTGAAATCATCTTGACTGGGGTCTTTGACTTGGTATTACAGAGTGGTAGAGTGCAAGGTTGCTAATACTGTGATACTCTGAAATCTGAGAACTTTATACATATGAGTTGTGTGATGTTCCTGTGCATATGACCGTGATGTGGTAGTTGTTGTATTGTCTAAGCTTCCAACAGTTCTGTTTAAGATGCATTTGCTATATAAGGCTTGTCTCTTTCTCTTCTAGGCCATTAACCCCTCTCACATATGAACAAGTGTGTAATGATACTCTGGACTCTCTTTCTGAGTATTTTGAAGAACTAGTTGAGAAAGCATCCCATCTGAAGTCTGCAGATGTATCATACAGCGTAAGTAACCATCGTATTTCCTTCACCAGTAATACTATTCTAAATTGCTATCCATCGTAGTTTTGAGCCCTATTTGTTGATGCTAGGTGTGACAATGTTTTGAACTGGTTAATAACAAAGCTTTTTTTTATTTAATCAAAAATATAGTTTTTATATGTTATTTCTGTTCCCAGTATTTAAATTTTGAAATATTTTAAAGCGGTTGACAGTTATTATGATGGGAATTTGTCATTCATTTTGGTTTTGTAACATGTTCATATAATTAGATGTTTCTACAGTTGAGTGTTTTATATACTATACCCACAGAAGAATATTCTAGCATAAAGTTCAATATGTTGTAGTTCCAAATAAAAAAAAATATTTATATAGCTGTAAATGAATTTAGGTTGACAACACCATTATCGAATAAAAAAATAACCAAATTGAAACACTGCGGGTTTATTGAAGAGAAACTGGATGAGATTAACGCTAGACATAAATATTCCACTTGAAAATCCCTTAGATACCTTGCACAGGAGACCACAGTTTAAGGTTTCTAGGTTCAAGTTAGTTCTGCATCTGAAAGGAACTTCAGTGTGTGAAAGTGAACATTTTATAGAGGTGTAAGGAATGCATTTGTAACAGAAGGGACCATTTCTGGCATTTGCTGTGATCTGTGTGGGTTTTCTGTCTGATTTGTAGGCTTAGGGGCTGCAGGGCATGTAGCATGGATGGGGGAGATGAGGAATGCATATAAGATATTGGTGGGAAAGCCAGAAGGAAAGAGGCCACTGGGAAGACCAAGGCATATGTGGGTGGACAGTACTAAAATGGATCTTAGAGACATAGGATGGGATGGTATGTATTGGATTGAGCTGGCTCAGGATACGGATCAGTGGAGGGCTCTTGTGAACACGGTAATGAACCTTCGGGTTCCATAAAATGCTGGGAAATTCTTGAGTAGCTACACAATTGGCGGTTCCTCCAGAAGGGCTCAGCTCCATGAGTAAGTAAGTAAGGGTTAGGAGCTAGTGAATTGCTCTGTGGTTCTATGCACACAAGGGGTTGATGTAGGGAGCTTGCGTCTGTTCCACTGGACCAGCTGAACATTTTATGATAGGTGTCCAAATAATCTTACTGCATAATGTTTAGTGAATGCTTGTATCTGATTCATAATTTATTTACATCAGTAAACTGTTACACAAGTACAGTTGGACAGCTGTGCTTGTCTAGCCATCTTTGTGTAATTATACCTTGCTGGCTGAATGGATTTTGTTGATAATTATTATTGGGCTTCAAATTTTGTACTATTTAAAATCAAAGGTACTAAAAGTTTTGCCAGATTATACAGAATAGAGAGTTTGACACAGCTGCTGTGGTTTTCAGGATGGTGTATTAACAGTGCAGTTTGGGGTGCCCTATGGTACATATGTGATCAACAGACAGGTCCCAAACTTGCAGATCTGGTTGTCATCTCCTATTAGTGGACCAAAGCGATATGATTTTCACAATGGATGCTGGATGTACCGCCATGATGGGGTCTCATTACATGAGCTCCTGAATCAGGAGATCCCTAACATCGTGAATCAAGACGTTGATTTCTTCCGTTGTGCCTACAGTGGCAAGAGTAAATAGGACTGCTGTGTGTTCATTGTCATTATACTTGGAGTTTCGTTGCAATAAAATGCATACTCCCCGGTATTGGTTTATAGTGACTTTTGTTTTGTAATTTTTCTTTTGGTTCCCTATGCACCCTTTTGACTCATTTCCATTTACATAAAATATTGCAGTTATCTAAATAGGTACTGTGCATGGGTTTAGAGGCCAGGCTTGGAAAATAATTCAGCATATTCAGGAAAAATAAGTGTATTTCACATATCATAATGAGTGACATAACTGAACTCTGCCATAAATTACCAGGCAGGTTCGCCTGACTGACTTATACACTCAAGGTAGGTAGTTTGAATTTCAGCTTCCACACCAGTTCTCATTGCTATGAATTTTCATTGTTTTCCTCTGGTACTCCAGGTAAATCCCAGGAAAGTATCTTGAGGTGTACCACAAATACTTTCTTCCTTGTCCTTTGTTTTTCATTGTGTAGTCTCATCCTCTTATTAAACGCAACATGATAATTGTCATAACATTAAACTCCCTCTTATCTGGCAAGTATGAGTTACGGGGTATGCCTGTTACATAAGTGTGTCAGTTATGTGAAGAAAACTCAGAGAACCCAATTTTCATCCTTTTCCAATAGTTTAATGTTTCCATTTTCTGTTTAAAAGTCAGAACAGCATGTTTTTGCTGAACTTATGTAGGTGTCTTCTTAACTGACGTAGCAGATTGATGGGCAAAAGATTTGAGATATACTGTAATGTGATCACTAATGCAGCTAGCCTGTACTGTAATAACACATAGGTGTGACTATAGTGTCCTCCCTCATGTAGTGACCTACATGAGGGAGGACAGTGAGCAGCGCTGCAAGTGGTGGCTGGGAGAACTACCACATGGCAGATGAACATATGCACATCACAACATTGTCTTTTTAATTAACTTTGTAAAAGCGGTACATTTTATTTGAAACTTTTGCTGGTTGCGTGAGAATTCCAGGTGCTTAAATACCAGATAACTGGGAGTTTTCTAGTATGTTGTAACCAGTTATTAACACTTAAAATATTGACACCTGAGTATCAGAGTGTTCTGTCTCCGCTTTTGGGCAAAAATAAGACAGTGCACTCCTTTCAATCTCCATACTGTGTTTCAGTATCTCCACGTACTTCCATAGTTTTACCGTAACAGCAAGCATGATATTTCAGAATGTGTCTTGTTCTAAGTCTCATTTACACAGCAGTTGATCCTCAAAACTTCAAACCTAGTTTCCAGAAAATTGATATTTATGGACATAGTACACTCTAGTACTCAGCTGGTAATATCTTGTGTCAGCTCTAATAAATATTTGTTAAGTGTGCAACAGTGATTAACAGTTGCAATATGCAAATAACAGGGTAGAGCTGAAGAATAATGGTCAATTGCATAAGAGTGAATGAGGAGCCCATGTAAATGAAGATCTGCTTTCCTGTGCCTTCTGTAATCAATATTATGTAACTTTGCTGGTGATAAAGAATTAGTAAATAACTGAAGAATTGTTTACACATAATGGTTTTGTTGTTTTATGACATTGTAGGTTTCATTTTGGTTATTGGATCTATCGCAACAAATACAGAAACAGTAATAAAGTGCTATTAGTAGCCAGTCACTCCACCCATACAAATCATTTTAAGAATGTATGGTTGTAATATTAGTGTAGTTTCATTGGTAAAGTTTATCACATTGATGATTCTATTTCTATAGATAGTAAACTCTGTCATTAGCGTTTCTTCTGAACTGCTGAGCTCATTTCTATTGAAATGATACAGAATCCAGCTCTAAGTTATGCTAATTAAATTTCATATGCATATCTATGTCACGAGGGGCATGCAGTAACATAGTTGTTTCAGGCACTATGCTACAAGTCGGAAGGTCGCAGGCTCAAGTCCTGATGAGGTCATTGGATTTTTTTTTCAATTGACCTAATCCTACCAGCCGCACTATGGCCCTGCAGTCGACTCAGCCTCTAACAGAAATGAGTACCAGGAATTAATTAAATAATTTTCCTGGGGAGTAAAGCGTGGCTGGCGAGTAAGGCTGACAGCCTTACCACCAACTTTGAGCCAATTGTCTAGATAATGTGGGACCCTCAACATCTCACAACCCTATGGACCTCTGAGGCCTGTTACCGAGATAACTTTGCCTTTTTTTTTTACCTTTTTATCTATGTCACCATCCTATCAAATATCTGTAAGTTTAGTTACTTGTAATTAATTCCATGTTTCTCAGATCAAGTTTTTTCTTCACATAGCATTCTTTCATTGTTAAGTTTTCTAAGGTTTCCTTCAGCTCAGTGTACACTGCTCTCCCGCCCAAATTGTTGACCTCTGTGAAAACTCCTTTCCTCGTATTCCTTAGTAATTCATTGAAAGGTTGTATTTATATGTTTGTTATTGCTTCTGTATTGTTAAGTTACTTTTAGTACAGTGGTAACTGAATTATTAATCTCGAGTTCTCTCATTTCTGCAGGAATTTAGTGATGCAATTGCTTGGCTTAGCTCACATTGTTCTATCTGAAGAGAACAGATACACTGCCTTCTAAGGTGAACCATTTATATCAGTTGAGAAAGAGTGAATCGAAATACCATCATGGAGATTATGGAAGAAGGCAACCTGATGGATCGTGTTCGAATCCTGTTGCAACGAGACCTGGGCTACTACCAGACTCACCAGACAGTGTTACAGGAAAATCTTTGTCCGGGCATTGTGGGGGGACTGCTGGACTTCCCGCACTATGCCTCATTTGCTGCTGTCAAGTTGGTGTGTACTGTGGGCTTGAAACTTGTTTTATATTAGCAGGCTTTGGAAGTTCTGAGGTCTATCCCTGTTCAGAATATCAGTAGCAAACAGTGAATGTTGTTATTGTTGATGTGCATTGCTCCTGTTGTTCCCACTGAGTGTCTTGAACATCTGTCCCTTTTTCTTTTCTTCACTTAGTGGGGGGTGGAGTCCAAATGGGTCCACTCGGCACAGCAGCCACTGATTGGCTTATTGTAGCTTGGTTATGATGATGGAGTATTTGGTGGAATGAAGATTGGCAGGTGAAACCAAAGTACTAGGAGAAAACCCAACCCAGTGCCACTTTGTTCACCACAAATCCCACTTGACCAGACCTGGAATCGAACCAAGGCCACTACGGTGGGAAGTCAGCGACTGACTGCTTGAGCTATGGTGCAGCCTGCATCTGTCCCTTAGTTCAGAAGTCATTGTTTGCACACACTTTCATATATAGTGGACAGCATGGTATATGCCTAACTCCCTTCTTGAAACAAGCAGAAATTTTAAGATTACTGTCTTCTGGGATATGATACTTTGTAATTTGGTAGATTAATACAGTGTTTTGGTGAAATTTACTGCCTTCATCATCAGGGTAAGAGTGTAAGTTGAAACCTTTGTAGGACCACTGATTCCTTCCTCTGTTTCTCCCTATTTCTTTCACACCACATTTTCTTGTTTATGTTTAGTACTTATTATTTTTATTTAATCCTTTGACGCGGTAATTTAAATTCCGCGGCTGCGTCTCCTGCGGTAATATATTCAGCCGGCCATTTAAATTTTGCTCGAAAATTATTTATTCATCATTGTTCTTAAATTCTATGAGATAGGAACATGAAACTTTCACTAAAATGATCTTAAAAGGTGGTTTTATAACCTTACCTTATAATATGAGCGCCCTTTATATCTTCAATGGAAGCANCTTTTTATCTATGTCACCATCCTATCAAATATCTGTAAGTTTAGTTACTTGTAATTAATTCCATGTTCCTCAGATCAAGTTTTTTCTTCACATAGCATTCTTTCATTGTTAAGTTTTCTAAGGTTTCCTTCAGCTCAGTGTACACTGCTCTCCCGCCCAAATTGTTGACCTCTGTGAAAACTCCTTTCCTCGTATTCCTTAGTAATTCATTGAAAGGTTGTATTTATATGTTTGTTATTGCTTCTGTATTGTTAAGTTACTTTTAGTACAGTGGCAACTGAATTATTAATCTCGAGTTCTCTCATTTCTGCAGGAATTTAGTGATGCAATTGCTTGGCTTAGCTCACATTGTTCTATCTGAAGAGAACAGATACACTGCCTTCTAAGGTGAACCATTTATATCAGTTGAGAAAGAGTGAATCGAAATACCATCATGGAGATTATGGAAGAAGGCAACCTGATGGATCGTGTTCGAATCCTGTTGCAACGAGACCTGGGCTACTACCAGACTCACCAGACAGTGTTACAGGAAAATCTTTGTCCGGGCATTGTGGGGGGACTGCTGGACTTCCCGCACTATGCCTCATTTGCTGCTGTCAAGTTGGTGTGTACTGTGGGCTTGAAACTTGTTTTATATTAGCAGGCTTTGGAAGTTCTGAGGTCTATCCCTGTTCAGAATATCAGTAGCAAACAGTGAATGTTGTTATTGTTGATGTGCATTGCTCCTGTTGTTCCCACTGAGTGTCTTGAACATCTGTCCCTTTTTCTTTTCTTCACTTAGTGGGGGGTGGAGTCCAAATGGGTCCACTCGGCACAGCAGCCACTGATTGGCTTATTGTAGCTTGGATATGATGATGGAGTATTTGGTGGAATGAAGATTGGCAGGTGAAACCGAAGTACTCAGAGAAAACCCAACACAGTGCCACTTTGTTCACCACAAATCCCACTTGACCAGACCTGGAATCGAACCAAGGCCACTACGGTGGGAAGTCAGCGACTGACTGCTTGAGCTATGGCGCAGCCTGCATCTGTCCCTTAGTTCAGAAGTCATTGTTTGCACACACTTTCATATATAGTGGACAGCATGGTATATGCCTAACTCCCTTCTTGAAACAAGCAGAAATTTTAAGATTACTGTCTTCTGGGATATGATACTTCGTAATTTGGTAGATTAATACAGTGTTTTAGTGAAATTTACTGCCCTCATCATCAGGGTAAGAGTGTAAGCTGAAACCTTTGTCGGACTACTGATTCCTTCCTCTGTTTCTCCCTATTTCTTTCACACCACATTCTCTCGTTTATGTTTAGTACTTATTATTTTTATTTAATGTTATCCTACCCTCTTCCCACACAGCTTGACTTTGTCTCTGTTGACATCACCAATCTGCATGCAGGTCTTTGTTGGGACTTTGTTTCTTATTCCTTCCCATTGGGTCTGATAATCCTTTTCAGGGTCAATGATTCCTTCCCTCCTGTTCTGTGGTATTTATTAGAAGATCATTATAAGTTTTGTGTAAGGTAGCTCTAGTATGTTAGGTGTTAATAACTGAAGGACTTTCTACCATTTTCATTGAAGAAGAATAAAAATTAAGAGTGTTTCACAACAGGGTGTTGAGAATAATTGGACCTAGGAGGAAGGAGTGACATGACATGGGAGAAAATTGCACAAGGAGTTTCATGATTATATACTCTGCACCGAATATTAGTAGAGCAATCAAAGCAATGAGGATGTGTTCAGTAGGACATGTAGTATGCATGAGAGGGATGTGAAATACACGCAGAATTTTCATTTGAAAATGATGGAGGTGACGCCCTCTGGTTTTGGAGGGAAGCTGTGAATATATTGAATAAGCAGTCGCGGACAGCCGACAAGGGGTGGCCCTCCAGCTTGGGGGTTGGGCGTGGGGCTAACAACTCACCGTAAAAAATCATCATGTTACGAAAGTGAACACACCTGAAGGGAAGAAATCATTTGGATGACATGCATAAATGGAAGATAATATTAAAATATATCTTACATATGAAGGTTTGAAGGGTGTGGACTGGATTAATTCTGCTAGGATAGAGACCATGGCAGGCTCTTGTGAATGCCATAATGAAACTTCAGGTTTCATGAAAGCTGAATGAGTGTTAGCTTTCCAGAAGGGATTCTGTTCCATGGAGTTAGTTTTGTCAAAAACTCAATATAAATAGAACTTTACCATTCTGTAGTTCAGCATCCCATTGCAATTGTTCAAATTTGGTTCCATTGTTTATCTTCCATCAGAATTGCAACACTTTTACATTCTACACTTCAACCTTACATGTTTCGGCGTCAAATGGCCATCTTCAGATGTTTTTTCCTGTTACAGATATTTTACTAAAACTGTATTAAAAACTGCTACACTGTTTTAATTCATGTTAAAATCACACGCTGTAGTTTTCTTAAGTAACACGAGATAAAATCCTTTAAAATTTAAGTTGCATATTATTTCACCTCACCTGGGGTGTTGTCATTTTCGTAAATATATCAAGGTGTTTTTCTTGGCAGCTTGTCATTCACATTTATGGTCTACTTTCAGTTTTTGACTGCCATATGCTCCTGGTTTGTGTGCACTTCCTCCACAGCGTGTGGTGTTGTCTTTACTAGTTTACCAGCTGTATTGTTTGTGTGTACATTATTTCATTTTATTTTTGACAGTTTATGTTACATATTTTGAAGTATATAGGAATATATTGGCTAAAACTGCATTGCAGGTGTTATGGTGGGAAGAAGAGTACGTGGCGGCATTCCGCTGTGCGTCTGGTTTATTGGAACGTGCAAGTGATATTCCCGTGGAGCAACCCGAATCCGAAGAGCTTGATCGAGGTTGTGGAGGCATTGCTGTCACCAAGACCTCAGCCCCAACTGAGTTTATAAGTCTTGTAGCTGATTCGTCAAGCCAGTTACTGGAACATTTGCACACCCTCAGCCAGGAAGCCCTTGACCATGCTGACCTCACTGTATTGACTGGGACTCTAGGAGCAGCTGCCCTCATCAGGAACTGCCTGTGGTGCTACAATGAGAAACTTAAGAATAAAGAACGGACCCAGTCTAAACAAAATGTCACGTAAGTGTGCGCTCGTTAATGTAAGTGCCTCTCCTGTTTCTCTTCTGTACTGTTTTTCAACTCATAACTAAGTCATTCCATAGCATACTCCTTTCGTATATGTTTGTTATTCAGCTGTTAAATGTTATATACATCCTCAGACTTCTTAATCATTTTCCAAAAATCCCACCATTTGACTCTGTTTAAAGCCAGTTTAAATATGATATCATGGTCACAGGCTATTTCTCTCAGGTTGTTTTGTTATAGTATGTGCATAGTTGTCATTGATTGTGAAGGGAGAATATGCGCAAATAATTGAATAACATGGGTAATCCATGCTACTTTGTGGTTTCTCCCTACTTTGGTAATCTTTGGGCATGATTAGGAGACCATGGTGCTAGTTGATTGTAGAAGTCCAGAAATGCACCCGTAGTGTTCACTTTATTAACTAGCTCAAAAATAATATGACTTACAGAAAAAATATATTTTCCTAATAATGTGTGTTTAATTTTTCACTTCACCTTTTGTTCAAAATACTTCTCACTGAAATAAATTTGATGTGTATCGGAAAGTTCCCAGACTAGGTCAAAACAGAAATTCTGGCTTAACTTACTCAATTTTGGCTGCCATTTCCTTCAAAATTGGCTCCTTGGGAATGTATACATCAATCCTGTTATTATTAATGTGTAGGCCATATTCTTTTATAGACCTAGTGTCCATGTGGCAAGCAAGGATAAGTGAGCAAAAATGAACCGCTCCTACTCCCGTCTTCCCCCTACCACCTACAACCATCGTGAAGTCTGGAGTGGTTCATCGTCACAGGCTCTCGCATTGTGTTCACAATACTCCCTAAGGTTGTCGTAGGGAATCCCAGCTCACAGCAGAGGGCCTGTCAGAAGTTATAATGATTGCCCATATAACAATAACAAGATTTAATAAGAACAAAACACAATATAACGCACTACAAGAATATACAAAAAAATAGAGCACTGCGGGCATACAATGTCGCTATCAACCCAACATACACGGCTGATTTCAGCCCTATACTTATCAGCACTTCACAGGATCAAACTCAGCCGACATGCCCAGTTTCACTGGCCCACCTACATTATGTACAGAAGTCGTTACACCACAACATGACTTCACTACCACTTCTTGGTTAGCCACAGGCGGCCCCAAAGAAAATATATATACTAACTAAACAACTCTACGTATTGCTGCCATACCTTTCCCCTGATGGCTGGTGACCGCAAATAACCCTGATGTCTGCGGCCAGCTCTGGACTACACTGAAACTAGATTTAGAAAAACCCTGCCGAACTTAAATTTAGAAATTCCTCCCGCTGGTCTGCCAATGTGCTTGCCTGAGTGGATCCACTATCAGACTACACCGCTGCTCCAAAAAAAACTTCCTTCCAAGACACAGGGGTAGGAAGGGAGGGGAAAAAAACCACGTGGTATAGGGGAGGAGGAGGGGGTAAGCTCTAGGACAATGATAAGGGGTAGCGTGGAAGGTATGGCTGGAAGCCACGACGTCACGGAAGGGAGCTGTTGCTTCAGCGTGGCTCAAAAGTATGGCAAGAAGTAGCAAGGTGTGGTTTTCAGTTGCTTTATGAATGGGAGAGAGAGAGAAGATGACATACTGTAGCTAAGGACCCCTTATAACCTGTGCACACACTATTGCCCTAATTTCTTTTGGTGGGCTTGATTACATCCACTGTACATTCTCATTGGAATGGTCAGGTCTAGAAATGCGGACACCATATAGTGAGTACATTTATGGTGGTGGGACAGGCCAGTTTTGTTTACACATTAGGTTGAAAGCAATAGGCCATTTTACCAGTAGATAGGTAGACCAGTGGTAGTGTTATTTGCAATCTCTTTATGACACCATTTCCGTCATCATCAATATATTGGTTCTTCACCAGATCCTCAGACCGTAAGATATTTGAGGATGACATTGAGACAGCTCACTGCCTTCTGTACCTCTATACAGCGGACCAGTAGCATTTGGAAGAATGCTATTGATACATGCCCTGTATTGTAGGTTATCTCTTCATGCGAGTTACCGCAAATTCCATGAGATGGCAGAAGCTTTGGCAGAGAGGTTGCTGGATCTTCACTGTCGCTTGCTGTCACTGTATGTTCTGCAAGATGCTGAGTGCCTTCATTGGGACGACCCCCATCCATTCTTTGAGGGAGAACGTGGGTCTTTTGTTGTTCAGATGTGGTGGCTGTATATGCAAGGTAATAATTTCTTCAGAATCCCTGCCATATTCCTGTAAACAAAGAGCCTATGTCCCAAAAGTATGTGCAGTTCATAGACATTTTCTATCAGTTCCATACATTACCTGGTTCTGTTTCATTCCATTAGTTATAATTTTAGCTTGTTGCCGAGCCTGGGGCACACGGTAGCATAGTGGTTAAGGCACTGTACTACAAGTCAGAAGGTCGCGGGTTCATATACCGATGAGGGCCGCACTATGGCCCTGGGGTTCTCTCAACCTCTAACAGAAATGAGTACCAGGAATTAAATAAATAATTTTCCTGGGGAGTAAAGCGCGGCCGGCGCGTAAGGCTGACAACCTTACCGCCATCTTTGAGCCGATTGTCTAGAAAATGTGGGAACCTCAACGTCTCACAACCCTATGGGTCTTCACGGCCTGTTACAGGGATAGCTTTACTTACTTTACTTACTTTATTGTTGCCGAGCCTACCGCTACAAGCTTTGTAAGAATTGCCAAGCTGTTTCATAAAATTATAGTAACAATTGCAAAAATGATCTTTGTGCCAGAGTTATGAGGTTGAAGGTGTTAAAAATCAAAATATTTTGGTGGTTGTGCCATCTCTCAACATGTAAGTTGTACCCAGTGCAAAACAGATGTTTAAGCATTGGCCAGATTGGATGATGATTAGATCTAGAGGACCTTCTTCATTGCTTCAGTCATTTTATTAATATGAAAAATGTTAAATCATTTTCCAAAATACCGTACTACCCTGTCCCTCTACAGTGGCTTCTTATTCTCAGCTGATTCGTCAATGCGACTGCAGTTAGTTCTGGAAGCTTGTGAGTGGAATCACTTTGTCAAGTGTTTGGTATGGATGATAGTAATTTTGTCAAGCATATAGTGGATTTTTAGGTCTGTTATTGATAAGGTGTTACAAATTCTAAATGCAAACAGTAAATTTGATACATTGTAATGGAGCTCAAATACATACTGTATTTACATTTTATTCCAAAGTTTCAGTTTAAAAATGGGGTACAGTGTATACAAGTAATTACTATAGGATTCTGACGATGGTGTATAACACACTGATATATTGGGTTTTTCGACTTTATCCATCGTCCTGGTTTTTAAGATAACTAATAAAATCACGACGTTTCTATGTTTCGGAAATTGGATCTGTTTCCGTCCTCAGGTGAAGGAAAACACCTATTCTGTTGGGTCTGTTAGAGAGAGCTAGCCTCAATCACTAGACAAACCGATGTCACAAAACATGAAGATTATAAACACCTGAGACCAGGCTAAGTCCATGAGAGCTAATAAGAAAAATATTCATAACAAATTGTTACAAACACATACAAGCGTGGAACTAGGATAGATAGATCTGTAGAAACGTCGTGTTTTTATTAGTTATCTTAAAAACCAGGACGATGGATAAAGTCCAAAAACCCAATATATCATAGTGTATACAAGGCTCAAGATGTTGTTTGTGAAACACCACAAATATGTTGTGTATTCTCTCTGTGCATGTGGCTGAATGTGTAGACAAGTAATTTGTTGATTGGTCAGGTAAAGTGCTGCTGATCCTCACCAGCACAGTCAGTCTTAGTTTCAGGACCCATCAAGACCCATGACCATATTTTTGTTCTTTTCAAGACTTTTACTTATTTTGAAATTGGGCCTCCTCTTCAGTGAGCAAAGGGGTCTGACTACTAGTGGTCACTCCCCCTATACTGGTGGTGCCAGAATAGTTTCTGTCTGCTCAGTAAATTGCTGCTGGCCCTCGCCAGCATGGTCATGATTTGTAAGACCAGTTATGGGAATTTGAAAAGGATAATTTCTTTGTGTTTGTTTTTGTGTGTATGTGTACGTATTCTGAATTGAAATGGCTGATGGGTGTTGATGTTAACAGTGTTGAAGCTCTTGTTTTTAATGCCAGAGGACTATAATTAGCTAGTTTCATGACTTAGCTTCAGTTCTGGCATGGCCATGAATCCTCTTGAGAATAGATAGGTTATTTTGAATGTGCTTATACTTTTCTCAGTTCATTTTCAGTTCCATTACCACTCCGACCTTTCTGTTTCTTCCAATATTTTAGGTACAAAAGAAGATCTATGGAACACAGTGCCTCCAAAGATGGCCCAGAGAGTCTTGGCTGGAATGTTGAATGAATCTTTAACAATTCTGGCAGTCCGATACACTCAGGTATGACAGAATGGAGGGATATATTGGTACAAATTTTGTAGAGTTAAATTTTTGTTGTTGCCGAGCCTACTGCTACAAGCTTTCCAAGAACTGTAGGCTGTTTCATAAAATAATGTCACATGATAAGACTATAGATGGGATGAGGGCAAGGCGAGCCCTGAAGCAGGAAATATAAGAGGTTTAAACTTGGCAGCAGTCAAGCACATGACCGTTAGAGTGTCTAGACTGTCATTGTAGCAGGAGCTCTTAACGATAGGGCATGAACTGCTGTACTGCGCCTGAACTGACAGAGGCCTGTATATGTTATATATACATACATTTAATAACATATAAAATGTAAACTGCACATACTGACAACTGACTTACTACTGCTGACTGTGACTCTGGCAAACGGCAGACTCGTCCTCTCGTCAGAGAGAGCACCCCACATCAATAAGCCTACAACAGTCTGACAGTAATGAAAATCTGGTCTTAAAGCCCAGATGGGGGGGGTTTATTCCAAGTCAGACTGGCCGACTCTCTGTCTGTCGTGACATGATTTTGACAGGGGTTGTCCAATGATTGAGGTTATCTGTTTCTAAGGGACCCAACTGAGTAGGTGTCTTCCCCCCACCCCCACCCGAGGGTGGAAACAGATCCAGTTTCTGAAATACGTTTTCTAGTTCTTAGAATACTGGACGATGGACAAAGTCCAAAAACCAAGTAATTCTAAGTGTTATATAACATCGTCAGTATCCCTTAGAATCNACGATGGACAAAGTCCAAAAACCAAGTAATTGTAAATTTTATATAACATCGTCAGTATCCCTTAGAATCCTTTTATTTCGGCGTAATATATATTTTTTAAATCAGTGAGATTATGCATTTAATGATACGAGGAAGAAATAAATTTGAATTATCTGCCATGAGATTTGCATAAGCACTAATATACAAAGGTCAGTTAGATGAGTAGAATTGAAAGAAATATGTTTGGAAAATATGTGCCCTCCAATTTGGAATACACTTCTCCACTTTTGTTATTTCTGTGTTGCCAGGCATTACCAAGCAGTGGGCGTAGCTCACTGTTAGTAACTGATGTCTGCAATCTACTGCTGTGTGTGCGACAGATATTGCCCTCAATATGTAATGATGCTGTCGAGTTGATGGGGCGTACATCACAGAACAAAGTGTTGCATGACGTGCATGCAAAGTGTCATGAGCTCTTGGTATGCCTGATCCTGCGCGGCAGCCCTCTCTCTGCACTCTACAAGGTAATTTCTGCATCACGCTGCAGGATATAGCTGTAGAATAAATAAATATAATGTGTTACTCATAAGCATACTCTATAGCACAGTGTCTTGATAGTTATTTAGCTGATCAAGAGATTTCCTGCTGTTATGAAGTTCTAAGATTCATCATTTGTCATTACACAGGTTCACCATTGAACCATGTCATGAGCCAGTTCAGTCTAAGGTTTCTTCTGGAAGCAGTAGGATTAAATACCAAACAGAGAAGTCTCAATTAGAGCAAACTTGACATTGAGTTTATTGATTTAGGAAAATTGAAATTGAGCGTTAATTGAGGGTAAACCTAAGTCGAGACAAAAATTAAATTTCCATTTCTTTAACTACTCAGACTAGAACTTTGAAGTTTTGTACACTAACTCTGTTAAATATAAGTAGCTCCTGCATGGTATTTCATCTGAATTGAATGACAAATTTTGGAGCCATTACTATATTGATAAAAATTCGCATTTTGAAAACCTATATTCTCTATTTTTGGATGAAATTATGGCTTTGTTCTGTCACCTTATCATGAAGAGAAGCTAGTGATGATTTTCCCACATTTTTATACTTTACTTTTAATAAAACATTTCTGTTAGCCAAGCATAGCTCAAAAAGGCTGCTTCATGCTCATACAAAAGTAGTTAATGTGAAGTCTGCAAACAAAATACATCCAAACTTTTGTTAAACATAGCATGGCAAACAACCAAGAAAATGTTCTTGTTTGTAACACAATTTTTGTAGGAAACACATGCAGAGAAAACTGAGTGTGAACTTTGAAGACGTGTGTGCAGAAATGTGCAGGTGTGATGATTATTGAGAAGGTGAACTCCAGTGAGCTGTTAACAAAATAATCAATGAGAAAAAAATATTATGTATAAAAAATTTGTTCATGCTTAAGCTACTTCTCAACATAGTGACTGCCAGAATTGAGGCACCTGTCATATCGGGGTGTTGGCGGCAGTGGTGGTGATGACTTGCAGCATATTGATAGATAGCAGGAGGTAAAGGCATATAGGCCAGTCTTGAATCTAAGACATTTGGCACAGAAGTTATTTATAAACATTAGACTCAGTTCGTCCTTGCTTGTAGCAGGGTGAAAAGCTGAATCTGTGCGTTGTACTGTTGAAGGTGTTTCGTCATGGAGTGAATGGGGTTGCTATCTTCTCTCCATGGGACAGCTCAGCCCCTGCTCCATGGTTGGTTGTGACTTCTCCTCACTTATATCCTGACCCTCGCAGTAACATCAGTGATCTCACTGACGGGCCTGCCATTGCACTGGAACTCTCTGTGCTTGTTGCACAGCCACAGGCCTCCTGGCCTCTTCTCCTGAAGGTACAGTAAAGTTGTGCCTTTCCTCAATTAATTATGCACCATGCCATGAAAGTGTATGGAGAAGTGGCTGTATAGCTCCACCATTCTTGACATTGGCACTAGGAGGAGGTAAGTGGTCAACTTAACCCCCAAGGAAATAGCACCCAGTATCTATTAGATAGAAGGCTGGGTGGGCACCAGAGCCAGTCTGGATGCTGTGGAGAAGAGAAAAATCTCTTTCACAACTGGGAACTGAACTCGGCAGTCCAGCATAGTTCATTAACATATGATTATGAAAATGGTAGTTTTTGGTTGTCTGTATGTATGCATACATACAGACGAAAAACTACCATTTTCATACCATTTTCATAGTTTTTGGTTGTCTGTATGTATGCATACATACAGACGAAAAACTACCATTTTCATAACCAGAGTTACTGAAAACATGTAAACCCATCAGAATCTTCAGATCAATTTTTTCGCAATCACAGAACTTTCTCATACTTGTATGTACTGCTTCTATGAGAAAGTTAAAATGCCTTGACCACCTTAACTCCTGGCTTTCTCATTTGAACACTAGGTAGTCCAGTTTTTTAGCACTTACTCTGACACTAGGGCCGTGCCATAGCTCAAGCGGTTAGTCGCTGGCTTCCTACCACGGTGGCCCGGGTTTGATCCCAGGTTTGGTCAAGTGGGATTTGTGATGGACAAAGTGGCGCTGGGGTAGGTTTTCTCTGAGTACTTCGGTTTCCCCTGCCAATCTTCATTTCTCAAATTGCTCCACAATCACCCTCGCCTATCATTTGGGTCTCGTACAGTAGGACAGAAGTGGCCGCAGTACAAGGGACTTAGTCCCAACCCACTAGCAATAAAAAATACTTTGACACTGCAGAATGAGCTGTATAAATCCTGAAGTTGCTAGTTATGTAATTTCTTAAATTTATCCTGTCTAGACATACTGTATTCTGTTAGGTTGGAGTGTCTTCCTTAGGGCTCATGGTAAAGAGTGATCATTCTTCACAGCCAGACAAAACAGTGTGTATAATAATTGTTTTATATATGTCTGAAGAAGCTGATGAGATAATAAGAATTTTTTAACTACATAATAATGAACGTTTTCTGAATTTATTATTTTGTTACTTTAACTGTTAAAATCGTTACTGTGTATTAAATATTTTACATCATGCATATTTTTCATATGATGAGCCATTTAAGAAAATAGATTCAAATTGCACACTTCACTTATTTTATGTACAATTTGTGCCTTATACCAGATGATAGTACAGGTCTTCTCCACAGAATGTTGTAAATATATGATTTTGAATGATTGTAGCCAAGATTGCTACTGGAAATTAAGTTACTGTTACATTGTCGCACCTTGAAAATGGACATATCAGGAACAAGTTGGCGAGTTATGTGATGTATCATCATTTTAAATTCAGTATGTAACTTCTGTTTCATCTTCATGGAATATATATGTGTATGTGCATTATGTTGCAGGTTCTCACAATGCGTCACTATAGAGTTACATGTGTAATTTTGCAACATCTCATGCGACAGTGTGCAAAAGTAACCATTCAGCCTGCCTGTTGTATTGTGAACGATGCAAAGGAGCAAAAAGGTGGAGTATCAGTGTTGCCATTAACAGATCTGAATTTAAGACGATGGTGTCTCCCATTCTGTGTTTCTAATTTTGTTTGCTTTTTTAGAACCTTATCAACAAGCTCTGTAGGGGCATGCGGTAGCGTAGTTGGTTGAGGCACTATGCTACAAGCCGGAAGGTCGCAGTTAAGTCCCGTTGAGGTCATTGGACTTTTTTCAATTGACCTAATCCTTCCAGCCACACTATGGCCCTGGAGTCAACTCAGCCTTTAACAGGAATATTCTTGGAATATTCTTGGGGATAAAGGGCTGACAACCTTGCCNTATTCTTGGGGATAAAGGGCAGCCAGCGCTGACAACGTTGCCGCCATCTGTGAGCCAATTTTCTAGAAAATGTGGGAACCTCAACATCTCACAACCCTATGGGCCTCCGCGGCCTGTTACAGGGATACCTTACTTTTTTTTTTCTTATCGACAAGCTATGTACTTTTCCATCCTCTTAAATTCAGACATTGATATTATGGTTACTGCTTGCCTGAATATTATGAAACAGTATGTATCATTGTAAAGTCATGGGGTAGGAACAGCACTATTGATATTCAGAGAAATATCTCAGAGATCCCTCATAAGTTATGTTAGCTTGTTTTGGACACATCTGTGAGTATTCAGATGGCTTCAGAAGTGTATTACTCAATTGTGACTTTGAGAAAATAATGAGATATATATAACAATTATTGAATATATTTTGGAACTAATGAACGAAGTAAGTAAGCAAAATGTTAATATTCCTATATTTAATCTGGTTCGTATGTTGAAAATTTATAATTTAATGACATACTGCTTTATTGTAACTTATGTATTCTATGTTATAAGTCAGATATTGAAAGACATAAGAATGTCTGATTGTTGTAATATTTGCACACATTGACGTCCAGTACTTTTAATACTTGTGTTAGAAGTAATGAAGCATTTACTATTGTGACCCTTTAGTTCTTTGACTGAACTACATTTTTAAATACTGATCTGTGGGATGAATCAATGATCAGGATGGTGATGGTTACAGTGATGACTATCTGATAATTGTGGATTACAAACTAAGTGAATATTGCACTGTTATGGCTGTATTTTCCCAGACATGAAACAATTGATATGATGCACTTTATGTCTCAGGTGAAGCAGAACAGTGTGGAGGCTTCCTATGTGGTGACAGAGGTGAATGCTCTTTGGGTTGCAGCCCATCAGAACTACACCTGCCACCCAGTGTAATAGTTTCATCACTGACGTACATCACAACAATGGTGGGAACACAACACGACTTGACACATGTGCTAGTTCCAGTGCTGGAAAAGAATTCTGATTCCTGGGCATCTTGCCTTGACAGACGGCAGGTGAATGGTGATCTCTGTGACTCAGTGTCACCTTTTATGGTGAATCATTCTTGTCAAAAGAAGATCACAGACCACTGTGTTCCCAAAATTTGATCTCGGTTGTTGACAACAATGAAAAATAAAATATTTATTGCTCCCACCAACACAGTAATTCTTTAAGAAATGGAATGTTTGCATTAAAGTCATAAATCTCAAAAGCAAGACAAGTTTTGACCCTTATTGGGTTATCTTCAGGTGTCAGTTAGTGTTAAGGCACTGAACATATACCCAATATGGATCCACATTGTGGGTTGCCTATATACTATACAATATCACATTTGTAACAAGACCCTGAGGGTTATGTATTGCTTAAAAAGCAGTTGGGCCGAGACTGGATGAATATTATGCACCCAGTTAGATATCAAATTAAAGGTAAAATTAAAATGACAGTATATATAGGTGTATATTGTTTCTCAGGTATTTTGGTCTTTCTAGTTTAGTTCTTCTTAGGCGATTGTGTATTTTCTTGTATGAGTGTTGTCTCTCATTTGTTCAGGTTTTAAGGTAGGTGTGGTAGTGCTGTTGGGTTTCTTTTATTGCTAGTGGGGTGAGACTAAGTCCCTTGCACTGCGGCCACTTCTGGCCTATTGTACCAGCCCCAGATGATAGGTGAGGGTGATTGTGGAGCAATTGGTGGAATGAAGATTGGCAGGGGAAACCGAAGTACTCGGAGAAAACCTGCCCCAGTGCCACTTTGTCCACCACAGATCCCACTTGATTGAACCCGGGCCGCCGCGGTGGGAAGCCAGTGACTAACCGCTTGAGCTATGGTACTGCCCTAAGTGCTGTTGGTTAGATGTTATTGTCTTAAGGTATGAAGTATCGAAGCTGGTTGTCTGGATACTGACAGTATCAACAGCATGCATATAGCACCCATATAAACATGAGATGGTGGCAACACTAACAGCATTTGGTGTGTAGTTCTAAAAATTTGTGCGACATCATTAAAGGATGTGAAACATGGCAGTCACACTTTTGACTTTCAGGTGTGGAACCAGAGCCGCCCTCCTTGGCTAGAAGCCATGATGTCACCATTAGAACCAGTTCTGGTGCCTGTGGTCGAGACTCTGATATCAGTCAGTTGCGCTGGGGACTCCTACCTGGATCAAGCTATGGATGTTACATTGGACTGCCTGATACAACTGGTTGAATGTCTCCCTGCTTCAGTTCTCCGAGCAGCAGTAGTGCTTGAGGAGGCCATACCAGCAGATGTTCATCCTATGTCCGGTTCAGTGTTGCTACAGCTTATTATAGCAGCCTTGTACTCCCAGTTGTTGGGTGCTGTTGGAAACAGTACGACAGCACTTGCGGAGGCACTGTGTAGCCTTCATCATTCTGGTCATGACACCAAGATTGAAGCTTTTATTCATGCTGCTGAGGAGCGGTCAGTTCCTTTCTTTTATTCTTATGATTATGTGGAAATCATGGCATTGTGAGGCTTCTGGAGACAGCAGTTTTGGACTGTTTGAGCCCATGTGAACCTGGCTAACAGGTCCAAACATTTTTTTGGGCCCTGTGTTGGAACTGGTAGTGTCTTATGGATAGAGTCTATGTGACAGTATACTAAAATTGGTTGTTATGGTCAGTAAGTCAAGGAATGAGGGAGATTAGATATATTGTGTATTGGGAAGTAAGAAATGTACATAATATTTTGGTTTGAAACTCATTTGTTATTTTGGCATGTAGACCCATTGCTAAGGAACAACCACAAACTAAGTAACTGTATAGCAGCAATTGCTAAGTAATGGCTGTATGTAGTATGGCTGCTGCTAGGCAATGGCTGAGTAGAATTCACATGGGAACCCCAGCAGATATGAGCTAAACAAAAGCACAGCAACAGAGGAACAGTGTTTTCTGTGTGGTCCATGCCAAGATGTTATAAGGAGTACAAGTCAGTGGAGTGGACTCAGTGAAGAGTTGGTGGGTGAGTGAGTGTGTTAAGTTACAGGACTGCTGGGGCTCAGTCATTGTGAGTTGTTGCTGTTAGAAGCTGGTAGCTAAGGCTGGGGACAGTTTGGGAACCCTCAGAGGAAGGGGAACGTCTGCTACTGAAGCCACTACCAAGTAATGGCAGTGAAGGCGTGACTCTGGACACCGATGTGTGTATAATAGTGAAATGTAAAATTTAGTGGTGAGCTGTATCAAGGAGTCCAATAATTCCGATCATCAATCCAAAACACGTGTAATCACACTCATACACGTGACAATATCATTGACGCATGTTCGTACAGTGTTTCTTGGCTTCTCTTCTACTACTTCCTGTTAGCCCAGTTCATGACCATGTTTTACTTAAGCTTTCTTGTGGTAATGCTTACAGTGCACAGATCTCATGCGTGGACAAGAACTGTGTGTCTATGGAGGCAGCACCATACACAGCTGAGATCCTTGTCAGCAACCTCTTGCTTAGTGCAGGAGGCCGCCGCGCTCTTAAGGTAACTTATTCAGTCAAGAGGATTTTCTGCATTCTTGATTTGATTGGGATGTAATCATATTTGATTTGTACTGTTTTATCATTCCTGGCCTCCTCTTATAATAACACAAATGATTTTAATGACTGGTTGATCTGTCATTCTGAAAAGCTGTGAGCAGGCTTTCATTTCATATAGGATATTGGCTCATGAACTCCTTGAAAGTACATGAAATGGTTTTAGGGGAGGCTTACCTCTCCACCCCTCAAAGTGATGATAATAGTGATGGTGATGGTCTTTTATATGAATAGTCATGTGTATGTGTGTGACTGTAGACAGGGTTTGGATTGAAGATTTGATTTATTGACCACTTTAACACACGACTCATATGAATACAGTTAATTATAGCGCCATCGCTGATCTCCACACTTTACAGATCACTACAGGACACACCAAGTCTTTTCAGTCTGCTGTGTTTGCAACAGTCATTCCCTGGTAAATGCTTCTAACAGTGGGGAATCTTCAACTGCACTGTCTAAGTCTTCTGTTTACAGACCCCTACAACTCTTTCTAAACTCTTGCTCCAGTTGCCCTCCTTATAACATCTGGACATGGACCACGTAGGAAACACTGCTCGTTGCTGTGCTCCAATTGTTTCCATGGGCAAATGTTTGTAAATGCATTTTTCAGTAGGGGTTGCATATGTCTGCATATTAATAATCTGTTACCAAGCATCGGATGTTGTTTCTTTGTTAATTTCATGGTAGTGGGGTCTACACGCTACAGTACTGTACTGTTGCTCCTCCCGTGGCGTGGATGCTGGGATCAGACTTTGGGAGGGTCTTGCATGTTATGGCAGCAGTACCAAATGGATTAGGCTCACACAACAACAACATGTCAGCAATAATTGCTTGCTTGTACTTCACATTCTGGCTTGGGTACCAGCTTTTCTGGCTGAGGTCTTCATAGTTTTTCTCAGTCCTTCCCACATACCAATACCTTGAAATAGGCTTCTCCCCTATCCTTTCTCGTTCACTAATCGTGTCTGTATGTTCCATGTGCAGATTATGTGGCAGTTCATGCAGCACAGTTGGCACTGGTTACTGGGTCAGCTGGGAGCTTTAGAGCCCAAAGAGGTGGCCCCTTCTGCTCCACCCCCTATCCCAGCCACGGCATCTCGGCCTGCTCCTACCAAATTGTTGCACACCATGTTCCATGTGGGGAACAGGCCCTTTGACCAGGTGAGGTGACCTCGTAAGTTCAAAACTATCTTTAGACATTGTATATGGGTTTTTATGATCTTAGAAAAATAATTACCTGAAACTAGTGTGTTCTTTGCTATGGAAGTACACCATGAATTTGGCCTTGCAGTTTTGTTGCACAGGTTTTTTAACATACTGGACTCATGTTTGGGTTGACTTTATTCACAGTAACTAATTCCATGCCACAGATTGTTCCTTTAGCAAGACATTTATTCAGGTAGGTGGGTGGATAATATTAAAATGAATCTTAGAGAGATAGGATGGGGTGGTATGGACTGGATTGATCTGGCTGAGGATAGGGACCAGTGGAGGGCTCTTGTGAACATGGTAATGAACCTTTGGTTTCCATAAAATGTTCAGAAAATACTGTATAATTGCACCACTTGTGGATTCTCAAGAAGGACTCAGCTCTGTCAAGTTAGCTGTCTTCCCATCCTGCTTTTTTAAGATTCATTTTATGTATATGTCTAGAACTCTCAAGTGATATCTTTGCTTAAGTTTTTCTAATCAGAATTAGGCAATGGGCACAAATTATGAATAACTTCTTTATTTAAACTGTCACAACAAAACTATATTGAGGTCAGTGCCTAGTTTTGGCTCTGCTACATGTTTTGGCTATTAATAGCCATCATCAGGCAAATACATGGCTAACATATATACACCACTGAACTGTAGTATTAGTAAAATTGGATACAATAATATTAATTATATAAAATACTTGATGTAAAAATACTGTGACATGTTGCGCAACAGAGAACCCCTCNCTGAAGATAGAGTGAACTGATTTGCGAATAGGGTTATAAATTGTGAAACCCCGCAACAGTGTTAACAGATTATTGCGATTAGGGTTATAAAGTGTGAAACCCCGCAACTGTGTGATAATTAATTGTAGCCGTTACTTGTAGGTTGTTGAATAAACCAGTTAACAATCCGAACGGCATCTTCAGTAACGATACATGTTACAATACAATAAATTAGATTATATAAAACAAAAGTTATAGTATAAAACAAGAATAAAATTCTTCGATTGATACTTTACATCAGCCGTGTCAAACATGCGGCCCATGGGCCGCATGCAGCCCTCATAGCCACAGAGTGTGGCCCCTCAACTTCTAGAGCTAATTGATATTAAAATCAATATTAAAATTTTAGTAGAAATATTTTTTGTAAAGACAGTTTTCCAACAGACCAGAAGACGAGAAGTCTCACACAGACATAAATTAGCAGGCTGCAGGAAATTCAATGTTTTGCTATTTCCTAACATAATTTCTTGTGTAATCTCTCTTTTTATGTATTGAAAAGTTGTTTGATACTTGTCAAAAATGGCATTCTCTTGCTTTTTAAAACTGTAAGATATGTGACTTTGGGTAATTATATTGAAATTATTCCTAAATAATAAATAGAATTAAATTTCCTTGTATCAAAATCTAATGTATATTTCTATTTTAAAGTGTGGCCCTGAACTATTATTTATAGGGCTGAGGTGGCCCTCTGTACAAGTTGAGTTTGACATGCCTGCTCTACATCATCGAGTCAGTCATTGGTTTTTGTAATATTTTTGTTGCATTTCCACGGACAATTAATGGCTGAAACATGTAGCAGAGCCAAAACTAGGCACTGCCCTCAGTATAGTTGTGTTGTGACGGGTTTAATAAAGAAGGTATATATTATAACACAACAGAATGCATGAAATGAAAATTACAAATTATGAAGGTCGTCGTCATGTAATTTTTTTACATTGTGTTAACTAAACAGCTTGTTTTGCAGAATATTATTTTAATGGAAGCCATAAGAAGTTGAAATGTGGTAAGAAATTTCTGTCAAAATATGCTGCATTAGCATTTTCCTCTCAACCACAAGGAAACTGTCTCTTACTGAAGTGGGCTTTATGCATTAGCTGTTGGCAGGGACTTGGGAGCTGGACTGGAACAAACTGCTTCAAACTCCTCTCTCACTCACACCAGAACGTCTTTGGGCTCAGCTCTCATGCCGTTCAGAGTTCCGAGAAGGACCGGCCACGCTGAATGAACATGATGCAACAGTTATCAGTATGCTGTCTGAATTGTTCCAGTCAGTAGCAGCTACACCATTATGTCAACGTTTATAGGAATTAAGCGTGAACCCTTGTTAAGGCTTTTTTCATTTACACGAGGATCCTTATTGAAGAATTAGGTGCAATTCAACACCTGAGTTTGGTATCATTGTATGCCTGTTAATGACCCAGTATAAGGGTCGAAACATGTGGGTCAATAAAAACAGATATTGATATGATAGTGTCTACTTTGTTTTAAATACATAATATTGTTGTGTAGACTGCATACTTTTGTATACCTTTTATGTACCTTGTTTACACCATGAGTGACAACAGAAATATTAAATGTGTGTGCATTTTTCTTTTTGTTTCTAGGTGGTTTTTGCATATCTATACAATCTGGGTACTTCAAAAACTTACAGAAAAGCTTGCCATTTACATTGAAACTCAGAATAACGTGACTTTTTATTTTATGATCTGAGATGTATCATGAATAAAGTCTTGTTCCTAGGAGAAGAAGATTATGAAATTATTTTAAGAGGATATAAACTATGGCTTCTTATATTAAACTTTTTTCAGAATACATGCCTCTTATTTGCTTAACTGTTATGTAAGCAGTATGCGTGAAGACACGATGCATTCCACATTAAACAATCCAACTTTTTACTGTCTTGAATCTCAAAGCAGTTTGGGCCTGTCATATATTGAAATATTGTTGAGTGCTTAAATTTCAAGTATTTTGGATGTCATATCACATCTGATATATGTCAGATTTCCTGAATATAGAGTGTGGATAAGGCCCAAGATATTGATACCAATTATGATACACCTTTATCAAATACATTAAAGAATGGAGAGATTTTTATCTTCACCATGGCCCTACCAGGTCTGGGGCTCACCAGCACCTCTCCAGCTCCTTGCATACAGTCACATGATTAGAGCACAGAGCTGATTACCACTTCCTTCTAATGCCAAGGTGAGGATTGTGAAATTATACCTCCACTTCCCCATGTCTCATGGTGTGGTACTTAAGTATGTGGACAAGTTTACCTTGTACTGGTTTCAGAGGTGAAGTGAGGACAGACAAGATTCAATCATTGTATTAATTTAATGCACTTTGAGCAAAAACTGTATAAAAGTATACATCGTTATTACTGCTATCGTGCATTATGCATTCATAATGTGAGGTATAAAAGGTGTATGTATGTAGGTGAATGAAAGTAAATAAAATAAATTGGATGAATCCAGGACTAGAGAAGGATTGAGAACAGATGGAAGCAGTGGAGTTTGAGAATGTGTGTGCAAAGACAAGAATACAACCAGGTGGCTCCCCCAAACACAACATACAGCAGTGGAAACTTCTAAAGCAGAAAGGATAGACAAGGTAATTCAGTTTCAGTAATTCTGAAATGAGCACCGATTTTTAAATTAAATAGAAATCTGAAAGTTCAACACTTAACACAAAAATCCAGCAATGAACCCAGTGCTGAGCCACTTCAAGTTGATCCGTTTCACCAAACCTGTCTTGGTCTTTTAAAGTGGTTTTAGTTTCTTAAAGTGTAAATAATAAGCCAAAACCTTCTAACCCAAAGATTACGTGCTACAAGCCTGTTCTGATAGAAGTTTTAAAACTGATCTTGCTGTCCACTTCTGGATTGCCCTGTCTCTATCCTTTAGTAGTATTAGATAACATGGCTAGTTTTGGTAGTGTATCTTGCATCCTGTTTACTGTTTCCAGTGAGATACAATGAAGTTTTCTTGCAGTCAGCAATGTCAATGTGGAATTGGTGCCAGACATTTCAGAGACTGGTTCTCTTTCATTACATCATCAGGGGTTGATATGATGGGTGTTGTTTTTCCACAGTATACTTACACAACAATCTGTCATCTACACCAGGCTGGGTAGGGAATGGCAGCTGGAGTCAGTGATGCCCTATCCCAGTGGACAACATGGGAAATTTTAAGTTCCCTAGCAACATGAATTTTGATGGCTGGAATGTGCCCCACATGGCCCACATTTTTCGCATAGTGGGGGGTGGAGTCCAGCTGGATTCACTCGGCACGTTGGCCACTCATTGGCCTATTGTACCTGTCCCAGGTGATTATGATGATGGAGAATTTGGTGGAATGAAGATTGGCAGGGGAAACCGAAGTACTCGGAGAAAACCTGCCCTGGCGGCACTTTGTTATGAAATGACTTTATATGGTATGCACACATATACAATATATTGATGTTTACTTGGAAAGAATATGGATTCAGTAATAAGTATTGATTGAATATCAACTATTATTTATTACATATAATGTACAGATGCAGACAGGCTGTATGTACGTAAAGTAACCCACAGGATATAGGATGTGGATTGGAAATCACATTCTTGACAACCACGCGAGTAAAGTTGGGAAGTTACCACATTGACTTCCTGTGCAGTAGGCTTAATGACGGATGTAGCGGCGACAGGCCGTTCTAACAAAGATGAAATTGGAAACAATGAATATCATGCCCTTACATGTTTCGGTCTTCAGAGACCATCTTCAGAAGGGCACTTTTACATCAATAAAGTTAGAAGCCACTATTAACGTATATGTTCTAAAAGCTAAAATATAGTATACATGCAACATAAACAATATACAATTGACTATAAAATCTCAAGTCTTTACAACTACAGCGGCTGTTCAATATATTAAATATTTATAGTTTTTTTGTTAGGATTCTATTGAAATTCGTAAACCAAGCTGGTTCGTGCCGTCCTTATTATTTCTTTTTGACGGGAGCCAAATGTGTTTCCCCCTATCATTCTCGCACTTCATCTTCATATGATCTACAGCATCTACAGGGCTGTGGGCCGCTGTGGGCTGTGCTACAGGGGTTTATGTCGCACAGTAAGACCCAGTAAGACAAACTGTTTCGGCACAGAACATATGCTGAAGGTCGCCGAATAGGGAAGTTTCGTGATACATTATAATGCATTGAAAGTACACGACTGGCTTATATAACATGTTAAGCGTCAGATATGTAGATTTTAATAAAAAATTGTATAACGTGATAGAGTGGAGCTCCTAACATAATGGCTACTTTAACGAACTGTTTCACAACCATTCGCAATTGTGCATGACTAATATTGGGTGCATGAGCGTCTATGAGCACATTTTTAAATATGCGCTGCAGGTTGTAGGAAATGCGGAACCACCACGAAAAAAGAAGAGGAATGGGAATATAATGGAAAGTGTAAACAATGGTATGTAATGCATTAGTGATAGCAAAGATACTGCTTGTTATAATGTTTAAGAATATTTAAACAAGACTGAGACGAAGTTACATTATATTACTTAACCTCAATCCAAAAAATGTTATAACGTGATAGAGTGGGGCTCCTAACATTCATTCATTCATTCATTCATTTATTTATAGTTCAAAAAAAAATCCACAGAGGCATCTGCCTCAGATATAGAACAAGTCAATAATACAATATAACATATAAATATACATACATAATCAGATAGTCATCATCGTCAAAATTTAAATACTCAATACAACAAAACTACTGTACAACAATACATTCCATATATGAAAATAACATTTAAAATTACATACATGATCAAAAGCCCACCAAGATCCTTAATATAGTAATATAAAATCTATTTTCTTAATATATAATACACCTGTATCACAACAGTAATAGCACCCTTTTCCTGAGTATTCATTCCACAGTCCATTGCTTTCTAGCAATAGGCAACAGTGTTAATTTAAATATACATTTTATTCATTCATTCATTTATTACAGTTAAAGAATCCACAAAGGGGTCTGCTTCAAATATAGAAGAAGTCAGCAGCGCAATATAACACATAAATATACATGCATAATCAGATAGTCATCATCATCAAAATTTGAAATACAATACAACAAAACTACTGTACAACAATACATTCCATATATCAAAATAACATTTAAAATTACATACGTGATTAAAAGACCGCCAAGACTCTTAATATAGTAATATTAAATCTATTTTCTTAATATATGATACACCTATATTACAGCAGTGATAGCACCTTTTTCCTGAGTATTTTATTCCATATTCCGTTGCATCCTAGCAATAGGCAACAGTGTTTACTAAATATACATGAGGTATCAATCTTTATTCCAGCAGTAGTATTCTTCAACAGTATAAAAAGAACTGGTGATAAGAAACTTCTTTAACGCCACTTTAAATCCAGGAATGTCATAAGATAATTGTTTAAGCTCTGGAGGGAGGTGGTTATAAAGTTTGATACCAGATAAATGGGTACTTTGCCGAAGTGTTGTACAACCATTCGCAACTGTGCATGACATATTGGGTGCATGAGCGTCTATGAGCACATTTTTAAATATGCGCTGCAGGTTGTAGGAAATGCGGAACCACCACGAAAAAAGAAGAGGAAAGAATATAATGGAAAGTGTAAACAGTGGTATGTAATGCATTAGTGATAGCAAAGATACTGCTTGTTATAATGTTTCAGAATATTTAGTCAAGACTGAGACGAAGTTACGTTATATTATTTAACCTCCAAATGATTTCTGTTCTAAAGCTTAATTGTGAGCTTGGGCTCGGGGATAGTTTCCGCAAGCGGTTTTCTAAAGTACTGTAAGATTAGATGTGATTACAGTATCAGTACTTTTTTTTTTTTTTTTTATTCTCTAAAGGGTGTATGTTAAAGACATTTATTAGTAACATTCAGTGTGTGATGTACATGCTGGAGGTTCTGGAATAGTGAGTACAGTACTTGGTAAGTAGCATTTTATTTGTTGTGAAGTACCCATATTAACAAGATGCATCCACAGTAACCATTTCAATTTTTACAGTGTCTCATTGCAGCACCTCAGAATAAATCAGGATATATCTTTAACAGTCATTATTCGTAATCAGATAGGAAGCAGTGCAGTGCAGGCTTCTTCACTTAAAAAAGTAAATGAAACATTTAATGTATTCAAGTACAGGTTGATATAATTTATTGTGACATTCCATTCTTTCATTTAATTTATTTATCCAGTGGATCAGTGTAAGATTGGTACTGGGTATGTGGTGAAGATTACAGTAAATTAAAATATACGCTATCTTTATTAAGATTGTCATAACACAACTATTTGGTCGGTGCCTCATCTTATAAAGTGTCGTCCATTCTGCAGGGAATGTAAATGACTGATTTAGTGATGTATGTTAAAAGTCAATGCAGGGGGGGGGAGGAAGATAGAGATAAGGTGTATGGGAAAGTGGTGTTGGGAGGGAAGGGGAAGGGAAATTTTTAACCCTATATATGATGTAATCATTGATACATACAGTCATACCCCCCTTTCCCCCCCACCACCCTTCTCTCCACACCCCTTCTCTCTATGNCCCCCTCCCTTCCATTGACTTTTAACATACATCACTAAATCAGTCATTTACATTCCCTACAGAACAGACAATACTTTGTAAGACGAGGCACCGACTGAATAGTAAGTAAATAATTCACTGTATCTTCAATACCAAAATCAGTTGTTAATTATAACAAAATTTAATACTATTACTCTCATATAATTTTCAGATTAACATTACTATTACTACATCTACATCACGAGCCTCCAATACAGTTTATTATATATACACAAAATATAGAATACTCCAATTTGTCTGTGGGAACACAACAAAATTGCAAAAACCAACGACTGACTCGATGATGTAAAGAATCACTTGTAGAATTTTAATCTTGTTTTTTACTATAATTTTCATTTTATATAGTCTGATTTATTGTACTTTTATGCCAAGTACACTTGGTCATCAACTTACAACCAACTTCCATTCTGACTGACAGGTTGTGAGTCGATCTTGTCGTATGTCGGCCATATATTTATTAACAGTATTTTTTAACCTTTCTAATCTTTTTATCATCTTTATAATTTATTTTAAAAACTTATGCATTTTAATCATCGTTATTTTTCATTTTAAATACAGTAATGTTGCCTGCATGTGTAGGACGCCTGTGTTGCCAGATGCTCCCATAATAATTGGACGCACAGCTGCTTGGCGGTGTCCTCAGGCCTCCCGGCATCAGTGTGCCTCAGTAGCACGTCCTGATTTATTATTAATTTATCTTTTTTTTTTTTTTGTGATTGTAAATGCGACCGGTCGTAAGTCACATAGATCGTAAATCAGTGACCAAGTGTATTTTAATATAATTAATGTCATTGTATCCAAATTTACTAGTACTGCAGTTCAGTGGTGTATACATGATGGCCGTGTATTTGCCTGATGATGGCTTTTGGTAGCCGAAACATGTAGCAGAGCCAAACTTCTCACTGACCTTAATATAGTTGTGTTGTGATGGTTTTAACAAAGAAATTGTATTGCAACATGTTGCGTTACTGAATACGCCGTAGAGATCGTTAATTGGTTTATTCAACAATCTACAAGAAACGGCTACAATTAATTATAACACAGTTGCAGGTTTCCACACTTTACAAACCCTACAACCAAATCACAGTATATTATAACACAACAGGATGCATGAAATGAAAATTAAAATTAAAATAGCCCACTTGAAGGAAAAAAAATTAAAAGAAATACACAGTTAAAAAGATTTCACTCTTAATGTTTAAGAAGGCATTTATATTGTCAGCCATTGTTATAATTTTATATGTAGCAAAGATTACAAGAAATTAGAATGACCTACTTGAAAGACAAGATAATGAAATCTTATAAACAAATTAAAGGATTTAAAATATGTTGTAGTAATGAATATCACGAACCAATATAAGTAAAATAATCATACGTGGTAGAGTCATTAAGTTCGTGGAATGTGGTTTTATTGCATCATATGACAAGGTATTCACATACACTTACACAGATTCACATCGGCCCTAAAACTAGTTGCCGTTGGCCACTATGCAAGTCTCCCAACTTTGATATAGCTGTCAAAAACATTGCTGAAACATATTGGCAGTAAATGCCCGTACGATGCTCTGCGGCCATTCCACGAACTTATTGACTGTGTAGTATATCCAAGTTGAAAAGTAGCACCATTTATAAAAGACTTTTCATCTTCTTTTTGAAGAGGCTGTTTATTTCTGTAATATGTTTGATGTGAGTAGGGAGCTTGGTATAGAAATTAAATCCTATTGTATTTGGTCCACTATTTTAGATTTCCAGCTTCCAACTTGTCTACGAGTTGATAGTAGTCAGAGCTAGTTCTAGTGTTGTAGTTGTGTACCTAATTATTTGTATTACCTGCACTGTTTTTTTTCTTTATTAAATTACTCCTTGAACTTACAGGGAGTGTAGAGTTAGTACATTTAATTTCATGAAACCCTGGAGAGAATGAGGTTATTTTAAGCCTGTAATACAGCTGACAAACATTTCTGAAGTGTAAGTATTCTCCTTCTAGAACTAAGTAAAAGAAGAGAATAGTGATTTGATTTCCCACAACATTTTGAATAGGTAAGAGAACGACTTCTGTCAGCTATTAAATGTATATAGGGTCAGTAATGTTGGGCAAATAAAAAAAACATACAGCTGAGCTGTTAGTACCTGATCCTAGTCTGTTCAAAGTAGAAATTGCTATTACAAAATTGAAGAAGTATAAATCGTCAGTGTGGGTTTTAATGTAACAGATCAACTACTGTTCAAATTTCTTTGCATTCACCAGACACTGCAGAAAAAATGGAAGTACAATGAGACAGCACACCAGCTATGCATAGACTTCAAGAAAGTCTATGATTCAGTTAGGGGAGAAGTATTGTGCAATATTATGATAAAGAGTTTGGGGTGCCCACGAAACTCGTTAGGCTGATTAAAATGTGGTTAACTGAAGTGTATAACCACAAGGAAAAGATTGGGATGTTAATTAATTTTAATTAGGAAATATTGCATTCATGTGCAATACATAATTTGGACATACAGTGCGACAGTTTTAGCAAGATAGACGTCACCTGATAATGGCAGTATACGGCTGAAACGTAGCGAGAAAGAAGGGCGACTAGATAATAAATTGCATTTACAATGGAAATATATGTGTACAACTCATAATATAAGATACAAGAGCAAAATTGCACAAAGAATGGATTAGTGATTAATGCTTTTCAATTTCAGATATGTTATCTGAGTCTTTGGGGAGTGAAGTGAAAGCAGAATGTAGTGACAATTCACCTGACATGTTGTCTGAAAATTCGGTTGTATATGAAGAGACCTCTGTGGATGTGAAAACACAGATTGAAGGTTAGTTTTCTCTTTTTTACTCTTCATCATGGACCGCCTCTGTGGACTAGTGGTCAAAGTTCCTGGCTACAAATCCAGAGGTCCAGTTTCGATTCATGAGGATTCTACCGCAAAGATGAAGGCAGCAGGCTTTTTTTCAAAACATTTGTACCAGAGTCCACAGCCACAGATACCAGAAGACAGTATTCTTTGTGATAACGAATCTTTGGGTCCATTAAAAGGCTGAGTGGCTGTTAGCTTATCAAGAAGAACTCTGTTCTCTTGAGTTATATGTTAAGACATGTATCATACTTAGGTTTTTTATGATCTGTTGTCACACGTAGTTTCGAATGGTTAAATGAGATTGTCCCTGAAGTTCAACAGAAGATTCTTTGTATAGTGTTTGTGTTTTATTTCAGGTGATAACATGCCAGAGAATGAGAATGAGGTATTGAGGTGTGGAGCAACACTGGATGAAATTAGAAATGGCTCGGCACCTTGTTTACCTCCAGTCATACCATCCCACGACCATACTGTCTTCTTTCAGGTGATCTGTATTTTGCTTTGTGTGTAATAAGGGCAAACAGAAAACTAGATGCATTATGGAAGTCTGAGACATGTTGCATTTATGCACTTAAAGATGCTTATTCTATTTCCTGCTGAAAGAACTACAAAGATTATATCATCGTCATAATTATCCACTGTCATTTGAGTCAAAGTGAGAAAACCTGGAACAAGGCCTTCCCCCCATCCTTGTCTGTGTTCACTTTTCCCTACTTTCTTTCTTTTGTCTCTTCCCATCTTCTCTTACATGGCCTTATGTCCTTAGCCTCGACTCAGTGATCATATGTCCAACATCTTCGTTTTGAAATTGGGAGCTCCAGTGGTGTTTCTCAGCAATCAGATTTATGGCTTGAAATGCATAGACATTAAGAGATTCATTGTGTTTATCCTATCCACACCAGATTACTTTTAGGACAACTCCAAGAGGTCTGATTATTTCTTAAACCATCCCAGTTATGGAAGCTACCTGTCCTGGATCAGAAAAGTACCGTGAAGAAATATTACCATCATTTGAAGTTCACTTCCTCCCACTTTTGGCTTGTCAGCAAGTCCCATCTTGGCCGCCCCATAGCTCAAGCCATTAGTCACTGCCTTCCCACCGCGGCGGCCCGGGTTCAATCCCGGGTCTGGTCAAGTGGGATTTGTGGTGAACAAAGTGGTGCTGGGGCAGGTTTTCTCCGAGTACTTCGGTTTCCCCCTGCCAATGGTCATTCCACCAATTGCTCCACAATCACCCTCACCTATCATCTGGGGCTGGTACAATAGGCCAGAAGTGGCCGCAGTACAAGGGACTTAGTCCCACCCCACTAGCAGTAAAAAAAATTCCATCTTAACCTCAAACTGCTTTTGAATTGTTTCCTTCCTAATGTCCATTAAATCTTTGTTTTTACTACAGGGTTGCCCAGCCTTAAAACCCATTCTGTCTGCCATGTGCAACAGGCTCGTAGTAAAACGCATCTGGACGTTGGAAGTATACCAATGAGAAGCAAATATACTGTGTCAGCAGGTCTTTGTTGAATGATATTGTCGCGTATCGCGGGGTATATCGCGACAAATAAATTCTCGATGTATTCGATGTAGCGAATTTTATTTCACATTCGCACTTACAATCACCCAAATTACAATCTGACGATTACTGCTATCTGCAGTATCACAATTAGTACACTGAAAAATGCCACAATACAACTGACTAGTTGCTGGCTAACTCGGCAGTAGCTCCAGGACTCACTGACTGTCTCAGTACAACTGACTGTGAATAGCCTTCGCTGCTCCTTATGTAACCTCGATCGGACAATACGGCCACGTAATAGGCACCCTTGTTGCTATGTCGCTGTGTTGCTATGTAACGCTAGCGGAGGTAACCGCTGTTACTACCGTAACGTCGCCGCTGTTGACTCGCGTTGCCTAGCGACCGCGATATCCCTCGGTGACGTCACCGCGGAGGGGAGTGGCGGGGCGGGAACTCGCCTATTACCGTA